CCCCTTCCAAGAGAGGAGCACGAGGGAAAAAAAAAAAAAAAAAAAAAAAAAAAAAAAAACAACGATATTTTACTCACCCATCAAAAGAAAATTACTCACGCCAGGCGCGTGGGCGGGCAGAATTCTGCAGGGCTGTTTTAGGCCCCGACTGTGCTACAAAAATACCCGTTTTGAGCACGGTTGTGAAACACACGGTTGTGGCTCAACCCGAGCACGGGGTGGGGTGTGTGTGGGGGGGGAGGCCCCTCTGGACAGGACAGGTGGAAAAATTAATAATTAAGGAATAACCAAGGCTCTTCCCGGCCGCTCCACCCGGTTTCGCCGGGATAAAAGCCCTGGGACGCTCAAAGCTCCCTGCACGGGCGCTGCAGGTGGAGGGAGGTGTTTGGGAGCCGTGCACACCCCGCTCACTGCTTTGGCATCCGCTTGCTTCATCCGGGCTAATTTTATCCCGTGCCCATCTCCAGATCCCGGTATCAGTGAAACCTTGGAGGGGAAGGAGGGGAGCGTTGCCATTGACCGCTCCGGAAAAACACCAATATTGGTTCAAGTGGGAAGGAAACAGCGCCCCAGGGATGTGTCTGCATCGCACCTGCCCGCCGTGGCTCCAGAGCGTGGAAAACACAGGGAATAACCAACAAACCTACTTTTAGGCTACGCCCCGGCTGTGCTGCCGCCTCCTCTTCCCTTGCCACCCGGAGACAGGCGGCTCCTCCTCACCTCCATCCCTAAATATTCCAGAGGACGCTCAGGCTCGCCCTGGATCGGGTCTGGGAACGCTCCGGGGGGTTCAATATCACGCGACCACCCGTTCCCACCCTGCCTTCCCAGCTCCTCAGGCCACTGGGAGAGCTCCCTGCCAGGAGGCATATGGTCCCACAGCCCTGCCCCGAGCACCACCAGCGCACGTGCTTCACACTCCTCGCTCACCCAGCAACATTTGCTTCCCAGATTTTCCCCTCCCAAGTAAATAGCAGCTGTTGCAGCGGTGCCGGGAGGCAGCGCTCGGAGCTCGAGCTGGCACGCCGCTAAAAAAAACCCCCTTTTTTCCACCTGGGGGAGTGGGAAACCAAAGCAGGGGATATTTGGGAGCCTGGTGACGAGCTGAAACCACGGTTAGTTTTATGTGGTTTCGCAAACCTTAAAAAAATTCCTTTATACAGTTAAAACTGAGGCACTCGGGGAGACAAGGGGGAGGATACAGTAAAAACCAACACTCTATTCCCTGTATTTTTATGGGAGTGATGGCCAAGGTAATCACTGGAGTGTTTTCCTCTCTCTCCTCCAAAATACACAGGAGGAAGAGGGAGATGAGGATGCTTCAAGAGATCCCGATCCACGGCGCAAAATCCTAAAGGAAGCCACGGAGCTCCTCTGAGATTCAGAAAACATCTCATCTGCCCATGCAAGGCTGTTTCCCAAAACAAGCCTACTCCTGCTCTAAATAAAGCTTAGCCTAGAAAGACAGCACTGCTTTGTTGCCTGGGCACAGCAGTTGGGAATTTGGGGGTTTGATCCAGCCTCTGTCACCAGCAGGTCACCCTGAACCCTCTGGAGCAGTTTTCCTGTGATGGTACAAGGGTCACTCCCGTGTTCCTGGGAGTGTTCCTGGGAGTGTTCCCTGTATTCCCAGTCCTGACACAGCACAGAGAGCTCACAAGGAGCGAGGGAAGGCACAGGATTAACCCCACACAACTCGACAAGGCTTTGACCCACCAACAGCCCTTAAATTTCTAGGGACCTCCTTCGCAAAAAAATTAAGGATACCAGTGCCCAGGAGCCAAACTGGAGGCAGAGTTATGTGCAGGACAGGGCTGAGGATGAAGCTCCATCCTCTTCCTCAGCTGCAGCAGCCAATCCCTGAAAAAAGGGGGTTTAATCCACGCTGCCCTGGGCCTGACGGTGCCTGACGCCGGGCAGACGCACGTGCAAGCTGAGCAAACGCTGCTTCCCAAATCACCCTGGGCTGGAACAAGCCTGGTGCAGCAGCTTCCGTGCCTCCCTGTGACATTTCAGGAGCAGGGGCACGACCCTGGCATGTGTCAGTGCCGCCAGCACGAGCGTAACCCCCGGACGGACGTCACACCACGCCCGGCCCTGCCAGCCGGGCCCTGAACTCCGGCCCCCCGTGAATGCCCCGATTCATCCCGGCTGGGCAGCTCCAGGAATTACCAGCAGGGAGGGTGGACTCTCCAGAGGCTGCACTGAGGGTGATTGTGTGGCTGACACAGCCCTGGGACCCCGCGGGGTCCGAGCCCCTCGTGCGTCAGCGGAGCCGCCACGTTCCGGGCGCTGACGCGGCCGGAGAAGAAAGAGCGGGCTCAGATTCCCTGGAGTCCCCAGTTCCCCCCTCGCCCAGCAGCGACCTTGGATTCCTCCCCAGAACAAGGCAAAAAACATCCCATCTCCCAGCAGAAGCCACAGCGAGAGCCACGTGTGTTGTGGTGACATGTGACAGTCCCCAGGCGAGGTCCCCGGGACCGGTCGGACACTGGGAAGCGTCTGACACTCTGCAGCCAAATGATTCCACATCCAACACCTGAAGGCATTATTTATCCCTTATGTTTTTGGCTCTGCAGCTCCTCCTGGACCAGGAGAGAGCAGCAGGTCTCTTCCAGAGTGTCCATTCCCACACAGGTCCCGAGGGCAGGCTGGGAAAAGGCAGCTCTGAGACCCCCCGTAGCCAACACTGTTGCTGTTCTGAGATGAGCAAAGCACAACAAAAGCG